GAGGGGGGAGGGGGTTAGGGTGGCTGGAAATGTGACGGGAGGAATGACAGGGTGGATTAGGAGAAGGGTAGTGTAACTGGGAAGGGGGCAGAGCAGCTTTGTTGTGTCCTTGGTGGTGTCCTTGGCAACGTCCTTGGAAGTGTCCTTGGCAGCACCCTAGGTGGCAGCACTTGGTCGCGCTAACTTATGGGTGGTAACTACGTCGTCGCTAACAGTCAACTCACAGCTCTGATTGATTGGTGATTGATTGATTGATTTGATCTCTGATTGATTGGTGATTTGTAGTAGCCTAATCGTTGCAGTGTATTTACATCATAGTGGAGATGAGATGTGCTGTGGAGAGAGCGTGGCAACCTCAGAATGCATTTAACAGCTATGTAGCTTTAACATCTGTAGGCCGCATGCGTAGGGCAATGCAGACGCGTAAAGGTAGCCTTGATACTCCATACGGTCACTCATTAATCGCATCGATGCAAGCCCACAGATTTATTCCATATACAGTCAAACATGTATGTCAAGGTCGTTCAAGGAGAACAAAGTGTCCTTTATAGACAGGTGTTCTTCTATAGACAGGTGTTCTTCTATAGAGGTTGTTTGACTGTATAACTGCTACTCGAGGGAACCCCCAAATGTGTCCCTTATAGATGGGTGTCCTTTCTATGAAGGTTATCACAGGTTTGGCTGTACTTTGCATGGATTTTATCGGCTGTAGCTGGAAGCAATGAGAATTTATTAGCTCTGTCTGCACACATAGTTTGCAGGGTTTGGCTTCCCTGTAACGCATGGTGCATGCGCATGTGTGTGTCAGGAATGCTTCTTAATGCTTTAACCATTTGTTTCTAACTATTGTACGCACTGCATGTACCTAATAACCCCGAGTGCTGCTTGCTTCACAGTACTAACACTCATTCTCTGCTCATTTACAAACACGTACGTATTCGGTGCGTTAACTTTTGTCTTCTTAGCATCTAATATTTGATCGATGGCCCGTGAAATAGTTTACATGCTCGTGATGTGACGTGATTTCCTTTAACTCCACGACTCGTATGTATATTTCTGACTCTTCATACTTGCATTCCAAATAATCCCTGCATTCCAAATAATCCCTGCAGCTTGAATTAACGTCGAGTATGGCAGAGGAAGGCAGCGTCGTCCACCAGAGGGCAGCACGCTACGAGTCCGGCGACAGAGGCATAGTTCATTATGTCTACCACAAGGTGGCGCCAAAGTGGCTTGATTACTGTGTGGAACAAGGTAGATTGTATTTTTAACACTTATTTCAGAACTATATACATTTAAATTTACACTTGTGTGTATAGCGTTCACTTAAGAGATACGTTTCCTGTGTAGATCAGTTTCTGTTATGTTAGCGGAATAGCTAAACGCAGAGATGTCTGTGAACATGGTTTTACTCTGTGTGCATACGTATGTAAGTGTATCAGTATCAGTATAGTAATTATATACATAATATATATGTGTATATATATATAATAGACACACACATGTATACATGTATGTACGTTACCTCTCCCCCACGCGTGTGTGTAATGTACGTTACCTCTCCCCCACGCGTGTGTGTGTAGAGGTGCCGTCTGTGCGTCGTCACACGCTCACACTCTCCAACCAGCACTCCGTAGAGCTGGTGCTGCGGGAGTTCCAGACCAGCGTTGTCAGTCTGTCCGACCTCGTGCCAAAGGTGTTCCGTGAGATGCAGGCAGCCGCCGCCGCGGACGCGGT